TTCTTTTCTTTTACAGTAGTATAATATATCTTCCGTTCTATTCTATTCTTTTCTTTCCATTTGGCTGCGTTTATTCGGAAATTTTTCTTTTTAAATAATACAGATATTTCACTGGAAGTGAGCTGCTTGTTTTTTTAATTATCTCTACTGAATAATATTTGGAGCTATCCATCGTAGTTTTCAATATTTTCACTTTTTATTAAGATTATAAAAGGAATCGATCAATATATAACAATCTAAAAGCAACTAAACAATATTTATTTTAAAATTAGTTAATGTTTCAAGAGTATCACTGTCTTAACAGTCTCATAAATCGTTGTCTCCAAGTGGTAATTGTTTTTATGAATTCTTTCCTATAGAAAGTCCATGGTAAAACAAAGATTATAAAGATAAAGGATGATGGAATGAATGAAATAAAATAACCGCAAAGATATAACCAAGGATTTCGAGATGATTTAATACATGATGATAATAATGAAGTCAGAAAACGAGGAAATAATAGAATGACTAAGATAATTGGACTGATAACAAGTTGTTTGTGATGATTGATTTGATCGAGTAATTGTTGTTGATAACTAAATTGAGATCGAATAATCGTTTTTAGACGAGTTATATATACAATAATACAAATAACTGAAATTAAATTCACTAAAAACGGACCAATAAAATGAAAATATTGAACAATCCTAGTATATGTTTCAATTGATTGAGAATAACGAAGTACACACCAAACACGTCGTTCCTCATGATCATCAATCAAATCACGATTAATAAATTCATAATCCATCATGCAATACATTGACGGGGTGGGTGAGGGTGGGTGTGGGTGTGGGTGTGGGTATTTTATTTCATCCACACCTACGCCCGCTCCCACCCTCAAGATGATAATACTTTTACTTCTCAGTACGATCAAGAGAACTCAAGGATTCAAGTCTACAATGACGAATCGAATATTACTTATTACTAATAGGCCTTTCAGAAGAATCGAAATAAGAATAAAATTGACTGCACCTTCTGAAACATACTCTGATATAAAAAAAAGATTCCAGTTCAAATGATTTCTTTGAAATTTTTTAATTACTTTATTCAGCATTTTTGCACAAAACTAGTATCACATGAGGAAATTAGACCCGTGTGAAAAGTCGAAACTATAATTGCAGCATTCTCTTTATCACGCACCTTCAATTTTCTTTTTTTTATCACAGATATCTTTTGGATGGCTGTAACGAGTATTACACAATCGTATGTAATTTCTTTTTTTATTTTTCCTGCAAACCTACTCATACGTTATTCGTTGTGCCTTTTTTGCGTTCTGATTTATTATTTATACTTATAACGCACATTTTTCTTGTTGATATCAAAGAAAAACATGTATCTCGAACAACTACCAGACGAATTATTACTATTCATATTTGGTTATCTACAAAAATTCGATGTATTCTATGCATTTAGCCAACTTAATCGAAGATTTCAACAAATTCTTGATCCATATTCTTATACAATTGATCTTACAGAAAAAAGTAGACCTTCGTATCGACAATTTCGTCAATTTCTCGACTATGTTCTTCCTTTATATAGAAGAAATATTCGACTTTTAAAGATAAGTGGACAACATCAATGTCAGCTTCTAAAAAATCGAATCAGTTCGTTCTCTAATCTCCAAACATTAGTAATAGAAGCAGAAGACTGCGAAGAAGATGAATTCGATTCAATCAAAGATGATCAACATAGTTTTCTTCATGAAGCTTTCGAAGTACCATCACTAATATCACTTACAGTTTCATTTGCACGGAATGATGTGCTAACCTTGCTCACTAATTCAAAATTATTGAAGTTAGTTAATCTAAATTTATTCTATTTTCGTGGTTTATCCGATGTTATTGATGAAGTATCACATCTGCCAACTTCGATCACACGTCTACAAGTTACTTTGGCTTCTGTGACTCCTTTACCAAAACTATTCAGGCTAGTGCCACATCTTATATCAATAAATTTATTAATGATCACATTTGATGGTTTGATCTTAAATAATGCATGGGAACTTCCAGAAAAGTTAGAAGAACTTTATTTAGAATTTGGACAATACAACGATGAAGATCAATCTGAAGTTCAGCCGAAAATGAACGTAATAAAAATGTTTCGTGAATACTTTAAAGAAAAACTACGAGTACTTACGCTAGTAGTAACTAATGCTGAACTAGAGTTTTCCAATTTCGACAAATTAAACAATCTAGTTTCCAACTTCGATCGCCTTCAAACCTTTAAATATAGTATACTTACTTCATACGAAGCTACCTCACTCTACTTTCCGTACGTTCAAAAGCTACATAATTCGAGCTACTGGATTTCCACGGTACCTATTCCTCAGCCTCTAAACGCTTTCAAGAAGTGCCAACCACTGCTAGAATACACGCCTACCTCACTTACATTTGAAGACGTTTGCAATTCACCTGATCTACAAAACTGTCAAAAACTACGAATTCATGCTTACAATGAACTTATACCTATTAAACTTCAGTTATCGGATAAAACAAAGTTCTTAAACCTCAAGAGAATCTATATGTATCACATTGAAGCTTTAAAAATCGATGTTCTTTGGCTCTTATCACTACTTCTACAACGTTCTCCAAACGTCAATTTTTTACACGTAACAACTACTAATACTGAAAAAGCTATCAAACAAATTGAACAGATTATCATGCCGCTCACAAAAGCTCGAAAGAATCAAATCACTCACTTTGAATTGAGTGTATTCTCAGATGAAGATGTACTGGGAGCTATTAAAAATTACAACTACCATCCAACATTTTTCTCAGAATTATCAAAGCTTGGTTTGTCAAAAAGTTTGAGAACATTGAACTTTTACTCAGAACAATTATTTATAGATGATAACTATTATAAATCACTCCGTGAATTCATTAGTACTGTAAGTAAAGATTTTGAAAAGATGACAAATTTGACAGTAGGAATGCGTTCAGTCAAACACGTAAAAGACTATAATGAATTCGATGTGTTCAAAGAGGAACTATACGAACTGAAAAAGACGATGTGTTTTACAGAAAAGTTACAAAATGGTTCTTATTATATTAATTTTTGGCTTTAACAAAATTTTATGTAGTTTTAATTTCCAATTCTTTTCTTTGTTTACTGTCTGAAGTGGCAGCCATAATAAACTGGAATATACAGTCTGGACTTTGAAAATAAACGCTTTTCAATACCAATAAATGTGCATCTTGAGGGTGTGGGTGTGGGTGGGTGCGGGTTGGTGTCAGCAAGAACATCCCTCCACCCACACGCTTCTATTGATTATTTTAATTAGTCTTTTTATATATATTCGGATTTATTATAGTGGAAGAAATACTGCAATACAATGTAGTATAAAAAGAAATGATCGTGATTTGGTCATGTTTCGTAATATAATAATATCATTCAGTGTTTATTTTCTTGGTTGAATTCTAGTTATGATCTATATGTTTACAGATATTGAATTCTTCTATTCAATGGGTGTTATTTCTGTTACATTTGCTGTAATAATGGAAAAACTAGTTTTAATATATCTCGATCGAGAAATTTGAAATATGTTGAAGCATTTTTTTTGTCAAAAAAGAACTGAAGTTATGCCAATAGTAATAAATGCTGATTTTATTGTTCATTAGTTGAATATTTTTTTTTCTTGAAAGAAAGGATGTATATCATCATAAAATGTATCTATCTTAAGGGTGTGGGTGTTATATTCTTCTTTTTCTCACACCCACACACCCTGTTATTGAAGGTAAAGGGTTGATCTAGTTTGATTATTTTTTTTTCTTTTCTCAATTAAAAAGCTATTCATGATTCGAGACAAATTATCAAACGTATGATAGCTTATGCTATATATGCATGTTCAATAACAATTCGTACATTCGTAGGATTTTCTATACTTATATTTGTTTTTAAATTTGATTTTCCACCATTTATGGTAAATTAATCATTTGTCTCTGTTTACTTTTCGTATAATAGATTTATATGTTTTAAAGGTTCTTGCTCTTGTTATTCTTAATGATGGTACACTAGTGACAATCGCAAAAGATCGAATAAACCATGTTTATATCCAAATAATTTGAATTCATTTGAAAGTTTTATCTCTGGAATTGTTTATGGTATATATTTGGCTATATTGACCATTGTTTTTTTTCTGTCATTGTTAAAACATCATTTTTTTCTGATATATTTGGTGTCACACAATTTCTTTCTCACTCACAATTACATTCAATTATTTATTTACAAATTTCAATAATAAGTCAAGCATTAATATTTATAGCATGTTCACGTCGTCCCTTTTTTCTTGAACGTCCATCAATAATATTAATTTGTGCATTTTCTATAACACAATTTATTGCAACATTAATTGCTGTTTGTGCTAATTGGACTTTTACAGATATAGAAGGTTATGGTTGGTCATGGGCTGGAATTGTTTGGATATGGGATTTTTATGGCTTTTTCCACTTGATTTAACTAAAGTAAAGGAAAATAAAACAAAAAGATTTTGCTTTCAATATATTTCCTTTTCAATTAAAGTTTACTCTTAGTGCTTATTTTCATCTAATGAAAAAACAATCGTTAGCAGAAGAACAAGTAATATCTTTTCTTTTTTGTTTTATACTCTGAATCTTTATCATTCATAAGCCGATCATCTTTCTTCATTGATCAGTGCATAGGATCTCAGCAGGTGGTTGGATGGCATATGTTTCTTTTTAACAGAATAAAAATGCAACAGTATATTTAACTTTAAAAACATATTTTTAAAATAATATTCCATTCGTTTCTTTCAAAAAAATAAAAATTGACAAGATTTTACTGAAGTAGAATTCTATTTTTTGAATGTGGGTGTATGTATTCTTCTCATTCATTAACCACATCTACATCCTCACTCACATCATCACCCACATCCTTGCTGGCATCCATACATCAATCTTTAAGAAGGCTTTTATTATTAATGATAATACAACATCGAGATAGCAATTATAATAGCACACAAAACTAAACTGTACACACCGGTAAACGGTTGTCATCACATTCACAATGACGACCAAAGAAACAACAAGCACAAAAATAATGGTAATAGGAACCACCACCACAACAAGAATCACAGTCATATCGACTATCATAAACACCACCACAGCAACCTGTGCAAGTTGCGTCAGGACGCTTCCTATAATATTTGCGTCCTTCCATAAAAAAACCGTCATTAGGAGCCCAGTACCAATCACGACATTTGCCACAACGAGTACAAACACGACCCTTGCAAGGGAGTTCTTGGTGGTGTTCTTGTGTATTACTCTGTGGTTCGACACACACGACTTGCAAAGTACAGGAATTAATATTCGATGATATATCCATAAGAATACTTGCGCGTCTTACCAGAAAGTCGATAGAATTATAATGCTACTGTTATGCTATATAATGACTACACTCTAATAAAGAACGTGCTATGTGAAGACATGTTAAAACAACATCAGTTATATTTGGTTAGTAGCCATGATATATCAGCTTCATAATTTATTTACCTGCATTTGACTACGACACGTAGACAAATAATATTAATCAATATTAAAAACTGTATGAAGTAATGCCATTTTTTATATAATAAAGGTCAGAGAAAAAATCTATTTCACATTAGATACAAAATAAAATCAGGCGCTTGTATTCACTGATCGGAAAATAGCCGTTTCAGTTACTGAAATTACAAGTATTATTTTGAGGGTGAGCGTGGGTGCAGATCGAAAATAAAGATAATCACACCCACACCCGCACCCACACCCACACCCGCACCCACACCCACACCCGCACCCACACCCACACCCGCACCCGCACCCGCACCCACACCCACACCCACACCCACACCCGCACCCACACCCACACCCACCCACACCCAGACCCACACCCACACCCGCACCCGCACCCACCCTTGAAAAATGTTCTTTGAGTATGACCTTTTGATATTTCTAATTGTTCAGTTACTGCTGAAACTTCGAAGCTTTCAAAACAAAATGTTATAAATCATAAAAATGAAGTTGATCAGGTCGACTGGTTTGAATAGCTAAACAGTTTTTGTCATTCGGTACTAATGATACTGAGCATACTCCTTTAGCATACTGAATCGTTTGTTTCTGTTGTCCATTTGAATGAAAAAATGACAGCTTTTTCTGAGAATATTTGTAAACTAAAAACTCGTCATTGGGAAGAGCGAGCATATAGTGATTACAGTATCCTTCATAAAACGGCTGTTCAACTGCATGTAACACTATCATATCTTGCCAATTACGTATTTGAAAGTAAGCTTTTACAATACGAGGTTCTGTTAATGTTACTCCCAAATGCGCACCACTACTGCTAAATCGAATACTACAAATTCCTTGACCTTCTTTACGAGATATCGGTGGTTTGTAGCGTTTAATTGATTGCCAGTTCTTTGTCATATCCCACATCTCTATTATTGAGCCTCCAAAGTCGCTGACGACCATGAATATATTATCGTGGCACGTGCATTCATCCATATAGCGCGCGAATTGTGAGATTTCTATCATCAATGCAGTTTCTCTTGTCATATCAAAGGAATAAAGATGTTCGTCGCTTAAAATGAGAAATTGTTTCAAATAGGCAGACCAACAGATATCAGAGACGTTGAAGGTACGTTTAAAACTTCGATGTTTGTTTCCTTGTGTGTCAAGAAGACATAATTCGCCTTCTGGGCAGACAAGAAAATATTCATCGTTAGAAGCCATTCTTTGTCCTTCTACTACAGTTACCGATGTTCGAGGTTTCGTTGTCAGGCGATCGAAATTCAAAGTCGTTGCTGCTCTCTCAATTGCTTTGGCACATGTGAGTGGTAGTGTCGTTGACGCCGATAATACATTAGGTGTTGCCAATAGTGCTAGTGTTTCTGTTGTTTCAGGTGAGATTTTTGATTCAGCTGAGATATTCGATTCAACGACTGTTAGTGCTATGGTGGCACTCTCGACTCGTTGACGCTGTTTACTCAACCGACGTTTCTGATTTTTTGAAAGTTGTTGTTGTATTGGCTCCGATGATATTTCCAAATTTGCTGAGCTATCATCCATGTTCTTCGCTTTATTTGTGTCGATAAGTAATACAGGAGAAGAAGAGAAACTATCAGGAGACAATTGCTGTGCCACACCTAATCAAGTTAATAATAATATTTAATGATCGAGTTTTCGTACTGAATAGGAAATATTCTAAGGGTGTGGTTGTAGGTGATAGTGGGTGTAGATATTATTAATAGAACATCCACACCCTCAAGACTTCGGTTTATCTTAAGAATTTTTCTTCATCGGTACTTAAAGACAACTTGCATCATACAAGTATTTATTTCAAACTGAGTAGACCAGAATGTCAAAGTTAGCGCTTACTAGGTTTTGATGAAGAAGATAATGATGGAACATTGGACAATTGTTTCTCACTCTCAACACTATTGGATAAAATTGAATCTGACAAACATTCATTGAGACATCCAAGAGTTAGTGGTGATGCAGTTGGTTGAAAACGGAGCTAGAATAAAAGCTCAACCGGTCTTTTCATGATGTAACTCATACCTGTATGTATTCTCTTGCAAGACTAGCTTCGATTTCAATTAGCATACGATCGATTTGTGTACTATCTTCGACACTAGTCATCATCATCTTCTCCACTTCCGTCCACATGCGTTTGAGATCATGGATATGTCTACAAGAAAAACAAATAACGCTTCTCTCGTTTCTGACATCAACTCATCCTTTCACAGTCTCACTGTTGGTTCATAGTTTGTGATTGGTGCAGCTTTTGCTCATATTGATGATATTCTTCTTTGAGTGTGCGATCAAACGTTTCTTTGGTAGATTTGAGAAGATCGAGTGATGTGCTGATTTTATCAACACTTTCTTTCAATGTTTCACACTTCGAAGCTACAAAAGACAAAACATTTTCACACAAGTATAGCATATCTTCGAGAGGTTGAATCTCAAACAACATTCATTCTTCGCAAGAATCGGCCACATACTCAGTACTTCATCTACATTGCCGACTGTATAAAAGAGTATGAAGAAAGATATCACTCACTCGTCTTCTGACGCAGAAGATCAGTTGTTGTTTGTAGAGTTATTTGTGTGCGAGAAAGTTTGTCTGCTTGTCGATGTTTATCGATGCATGAAGCACATTCAGGATACTGACAGAATTCGCAAGCGGCGAGCTCACCATTGACTTGGCATCTTGCACATTTGGCATAAATCATCGGAGCGATCGAGTTATCATTGGATGCATTTGTCTGCTTGGTGACTTTTTTTCGCGGCATCTCAATATCGCACACAGAAAACCGTAGGTTTTTTTGTTCGTTTGATGTCTGTAAATTAATAAAAGTTGTTATGTCTGATTTTCTTTGCCTCTTTTGTTCCTCTTGCAACTATCAGCAACTGCAAAGACAGGACAGAAGAAAAATATTATTGTGTTACAGGCACTTTTGCATCAGTATTTTGCATATAAAATATTGAAAAACATTACTAAGAGAAAGGTAAAATAAATTCTTTGTTACTTCATATGTGCGTCTCGAAAAAGTCTAGTGTACTATCAACAATGTGCAGAGCACTATCAACACAAAAAAGAAAGAGAACAATGTGAAAAAAGAGAACTAAAGATTTTTATCAAGTAACCATTATGAGACAAACAATGTATAGCAGTTATCGCGCTGAACATCAGGATGCCACAAAAGAAAGGAAAAAAACCAGCAGAAATTAGTCGCTATGTCTGATTTTTTTTGCCTCTTTTATTTCTCATATAACTCTCAGCAACTAGAAAGACGAGACAGAAGAAAACTTTTATTATATTATGTGCAGGCACTTTTGCATACACAATATTTAAAGACGTTACTGAGAGAAAAGTAAAATAAATTCTTCATTGTTTCATGTGTGTCTCAAAAAGTTTAGTGCACTATTAGCACAAAAAGCTAAGACAAAAATGTGAAAAACGAGAACTAATGATTTTTATCAAGTAACCATTATGAGACAAACAACATACAACAGTTCTCTTGCTGTACAATCAAGATGTCACGAAATAAAAAAAAAATCTAACAAAAACTATATTGCCTGCTTCACCCAGCTTGTATGCAATATGTGAGTACGGGTGTCCCTCTTCTGTTAACTACCATTCCATGCCCAGACCCAGATACAGACCCACACCCACCAAATATGTTATATCACATGTTATAGACAAGAACACTTGTATTATTACTAATGATAGTATATCATTATACAGGAAATATTTTATCACAGTATTATTTGGAATTTTAGCTTATCGTATATCACCTTTAATTTGTTCAGAATTAGATAAACAGCGGACCGTGATGGTTTTTGTACAGGTTGAGGGTGTAGATATTCAATTCATCATTCAACCACACTCCCAAGATATAATGAAATCAAAAGGAAATCTTCTTAGTGCGAAAAATAGACATGTATACAGTGCTTAAAAAAGTGTAAGAGTATTATTTAGTTTTAAAGCTTCATGGAGAAGGTCATAATTGTTTGTAATTAACGGATTGGAACTCAACGTCAGACATTCCAATGTTTGATTTGTAATAAGAAGAATGTGTGTGTGGGTGTGGATATAAGAAGAGTATAACATTCACACACATCCGCCCGCTGGAGATCCCTAATGATTTATTCCCGATTTCATTTTGTGACAAGAACTATGAAAGTTTGGTTCTTTTTTCCAAGTTTCATGGGTAAAAAGGCACTGTTTGTTATTGCAAAATAGAAAGAGAGAATGAATACTTTTCTCGTTTCTTCCTATAATATAGTACTGTCTCAGACGTATATATAAAGAATTGTTCTTATCTCTTATAGGCAGAGAAGAAATCCTACCAAGATGAATAATATTATTATCAGTTGAAAAGAAAACAAAGAGTTTTACCAACTTAGACTATTTGCTTTGTTTGCCATTCTTTCTACGTCGGTATCTTGAGGGTGGGTGTGGGTGTGGGTGTGAGTGTCTGTAGCGAAAAGATACACAACCACACCCACACCCACAAGATGTATCTGGTGATTTCTGAAGTGTATGCCCGTGTCTTATCACACCAACATTAATAACACTTATTCTATCTGTATGTTATCGAATGTATCCTGACAATTTGACAAAATAACTTTTTATAGCTGAAGAATTGTGGTTTTTATTATTTTATTGATTTCTCTTTTCCTCATAGCCATATTTAGACTAAAGTGTAGCTGACGGTAGAGATACTTTACTTCGTTTCACACCCACACTCAAACTTTCAGTCTCACCCTCACCTATAACCATATCCAAGAGTATGTTTACAGAACAGTATTAAACTCAAAATATAAATATTGCTTTTCGAATTCATTTTTCAGAAAAATATATGTGGTAAAGAATATTTTGATATCGATTAAGTTCGCGATAATTTGTTAGCCATAACCATTTCTAATGCTATTTGATTGAACTCTGCTCTATTGTACTTGTATTGAGTTGCCACTCCTGAAGGCAATAAGAATTCCTACAGTGTAAGTTTTTATAAAATATGCTTACCTGGGCGTAAAGGGGAATCAAGGTTAGGATAATCTATAACAGCAGTAACCGATTCTATGACATCAACAAGAGTGACTGCAGGATTCCAAAGCCCTCTTTTTCTTAATATTTCGACACAGATTTTACCTAATTGTAATACAGACAAAGTATTATAAAAACGTATTCTAATAGACGTACCGGTAGTATCAACATTGGGATGATAAATCGGCGTAATAATGCTCACCTCAGGTGGATCGAGTGGGAACTGTCGCGTTTTTATTTTGATTCGAAAAGAACTTTGATTGTAAATGTCAGAATTTGGTAGTATTCGACCAGTTATTTCCGAGGACCCACTATCATTGTCATCATCGTCATCAATCGGGATTGTATCGATTATAAACTTTACTTTCGATTCACTGTGTGGTCCAATTGATTTTAGTCTAGCGACTTCAGCGTATAGTCTTTTACACTGCTGTCTTGAAACGGTAGATGCCAGTTTCTGAGCCAAACGAGCTAAAGTAAATAAAGAAAAAACCTTTTACAGTGCACAACTCCCGTTACAAAGTATCTCACGTCTGACAAAATGACTTTGTTGTAGGTATCCCCCTTTAATTTCAACACTGTTTAGTTAAATCCCTTTTGTTACAGGAACTCCCTTGATATGAACGTTTTTCCAATATTATCCTAGGTTAACCGAGGATATAGATATGGACATAGACATATAACGATGAAGCAAATATGACCGCATTCTCACTCGAGCGCACTCACCTTGTTTCGACTCGATCTATTGATTGTCTCTCAAGAAAATCATGATCTCATATATGCTCGGAATGAAAATTTTGAACATATAGCATTCAAAGACTAACTGTGAAAAATTTTATATATATGTATAGTTATTTCATATTCATGTTTTGAGGTTCAGCATGTGGATGTGAGTGTGAGAATCTGGCGTCTCTCAATGAACTTTACCAGAGATGATCAACTTTGACTTTTTTCACGCAAATCCGCTGGAGTTGAAGAGGTTGCATGAGAGAAAAAGCGGAGTTATGGTATTGCATATGATTGAGGAGGACGACGCCCAATTATCCCGACGATGGTTGCTATGGAGTTGTAGCTAAGTTCTCTTGTAGCTAGTGGAATTAACTCCGGAGTTGCCCATCTCTGAATATTACCTATCCTTGGGCCATTAACATGGCTTCTATTGAAATAAAGACTTTTTAATGAACTCAGTTTACCGTTTTCTTGACGAATTTGTTCTTTAACAGCTATCGTTGTAGGTTCAGACGTCATTTGCTAGATTTCCTGTCTGAAATATAACAGAGTATACTAGAATTAATACAAAAAGTTACTTTGAGCAAGAAAAGCAGTGGCGTACACAGGTTGTTATACGTGCGAATAAAGGTGAATGCACATATCGATGATTTTACGTTATATACTTTCACTAAAACTTATAAGCTTATTTGCATTCGCATCCGCATTCGTCTTTTTTTATCTATTTGCCTCTTTCTCAGTACGATTATGTACCTCATCGCCGGAAACAACATCATCGAAGACGCAGATCGCCGAAATTCGTGCAAATGCAAACATCATCCAAAAGAAAGATTACCGAAATGAATATTATCGAAATAGACATTATCGATCTATTGATCATCGAAATAGAGATCGCCGAATTCTTTTGTTGTCTATCTAACTAGCTGTCACTTCTTCGATGATTCCTTGTTTTCTTCATCGTCCCTTCATCTCTGAATATATATATATCATCGAAGGTAGTAGCATTATGCGCCAGCATGAATAGCGGGTTGTTGTGCTGAATATATGACTGGCGAAAAGCAATATCGCCGATTGGCACTTCGTCGAAAGTGAAATGATTGATTGCCGAAATATGTATCACCGAAGTTATAGATTATCGAAATGCAGATCGCCGAAAGTCGGTGATCTGCATTTCGACTATGTGTTTTTCGACGATGAGGTTAAAGACCGAAGCAATATTATATTTTATAGCACAACTTTGTCGACTGTGTAAGAGAAAAAGCCTTTAACAAATAGGTAATAAAAGAGAAAATGAAAGAAAGAGAATGAAGAAAAAAAGTGAGCGTTGAGTTACTACTATGAAATGCGACATTACCCCATTTTACATGCTAAGTAGATGCAGCGAAATCAACAGTAAGACGTGTTTCGTTTCTTCTCATGTTTGATATGTTGGCTAAAATAGATAAGCGATCATAGATAAAACGCTTCAGTTGCCCTACCAT